TTGCAGGTGTATTGGAAACTAATCGTCCTGATGCAAAGAATGCCCTTTACCAAGCAACGATCAAGCAAGGCGATTTCTTGTTGAACCGCATTCAAAAGTTATCCCGTGTGATTGATCTTTGAAGTTGGTAGAAAGGGATTTTTTTTTCTTTAATTTGATGTTGGAATTTCAAAAATTGAGACTTTGATGTTCTTTGTTGCTTCATTCCGGTGTACTTGCTGTGTTTCACATGTATTCTTATAATCTTTTGAACTTATAAATCAAATTCAGACATTGAGGGGCTATTCTCGTAGTGTTTCGATTTTTAGTTTTGAATTTTGAATTTATTTTGGATTTTGTGTTTTGAGTGTCGTCTTGAGATTGCTGAAAAAACATTTTTTTTGTCGTTTTGAGGGTCACCAAACTAAATGTTATTTCAAGATGAATACCGAACTTGAACCTTGTTTCGTTTAGGCCATTCTAGTGGTGGTTGCTATTTGATTAACAAAGAAAAGCAATATGATGGGTGTTATTTGCTGAATGGACTGTAAGGTGACTTTTTTGTATGTAATATATAACGTGACTTAAGTTTGATTTCAATTATTAACGAAAATTGATGATATCACAGTTAATAAATAAGGACTATCATACATAATTATCTTGCTGATGTGAAATAATTTCATTAAAATAATCACCGGGAACATTTATTGACTTATATGTCAATTCATTTCAGTTCAAGTGACAAGAAATTAGTTGGAATTATCGAATTCAAATCATATTCTACACAACAATTATTTAATTCTTATACTCATTTTTAACTATATATTTACACAATAAAATATTTTATACGCAAATTCAAATTAATTTGGGTGGAAATAAAATGAATTTTAGGGAATTGAATTGTCTAGAATTGTTTTCCTGTGAATTGTCTATTAATTGTATTTGAATACTATAATTTTCTATGTGGAAAATATTGAAATTTTGGATCTTTTGATACTCATTTGACTTTATTTTACATGGAAATTGTCTACTAAAGGGATAAAATTGATTACAATTTGGGATAAAATTTGTTTCCATTGCCAGAAAAAATTTAAAATAAAAAGTAAACTGGAAAAATCAATTCCCACCAAATCAAGAAAATGAATTGCCAAAAAAATTAAACCAATCAAACAAGCCAAAATCAAGAAGATGGAAATCAATTTCCAAGTTGCATGGAAATGATCCCAAATCAAAGAGGCCCTTATTGCCTAGACTTTCATTGTCATTACAGTCCAAAAGTAGTACTAGTTCTAGATTTAACTTGACTTGGAGGGTAGCTTAGAAGGAAAGGTTAACGTAAAGTAAAAGGAAAGAGAGAGAATTATATAACTTATTGCTTTAGATAGCTTTAAATTTTATATGAGTGCATAAAAAAAATGCTTTAATGCTATGAAAAATTTAAATTATAATTGAAGCTGATTACACATATTTTATCTACACATTTCATAATACCCATAATTACTACACAGATATTATCGGCACATTTCGTAAAAATCACGATTTATAATTTCTTAAATTTTAATTTAAACACTCGAGGAACCTATAAAATGTGAAGATTAAAAAATTAAAAAATGTGATTAAAAGTATGTTTAACCTTCATTAATTATTTTTTAAGTTTGGCCAAACCTTCCCTAGGTTTTTAGCCTGGTTTGATTTTGATTTTTTCAAAATAAATTCTCTTCGTACTAATTTTTAATTATACATTTTTACAATAAAATAAATTATACGTAAAATCATAAAATTTTCCTATTTTTAATTTACATTCTTCCAAAAAACAAAAATCATTTTTCACAAAATTACTTGCAAAGAAATAAAAAAAAAAAAATCAATGGCTTATCACCACAAAACTTCCCTACATTTCGCTCTTAAATTTTCACATTTCCACCCACATTTCAACGTTTCATTGTGAAAAAAAAGTCATTTTCATCAATTTTTATCCAATTTCTCAATTAAAAATTATAAATGACAAATATACCCTCATATTTAAATAAAACAAAATAAAAATAAAAAATAAATTGCAATTCTATTCCCATTTTTTTAAAGAAGTATAAATAAATCCCAAATAAATTAAATTAAAAAATCAACAAAAAAAAGAAAAGAAAAGTCGTATTCTTCATCTTCCCCCTCTCCCACCCCCATGCCCATACCAAGAATCGAAAATAGTACTTTTATGTCATTCAAATTAGAAAATAAAAGTCGTCTTCCCCCTCCCCCTCTCCCTCTCATCGCTACCCCTACCCCTCACCCTTACACGATAGCATCGCCATAGCCACCGCCTTCAAATTCTCGAGTAATTAAATCACTCTTTCTTTGTTCTTGCTATGTAAATCAAAAGTCGATTTTGCTTTGTTGTGTAAGTTCAAGTGGAAATGAATTGACTGTAAATAAGGAGAATTCCTTTATATCTGTTCAAAGGAAGAAGCTTGAAAGACAAGACATGATTTATAGGGCTTATTAGCACAAAACGTCCTTACTTTTGGTCATTAGTGTGCAAAACGTCTATACGTTTGGCCTTTAGAGCGTGTTTGGGAGCAATTTTTGTGGGATTTTAATCAAAATTATAACCGTTATAGTCAATCTGTGAGCCACACCTGTGAGAGAGAAAGTAAAAAATGGTGGCTGATTTGATAGTTAACGGCTAGAATTTNTAGGATGTTAATCAAAATAATAGCCGGTATAGTCAACCTGTGGGCCCGACCTATGAGAGGAAATGTCAAAAAAGGAATATGATTTGATAGTTAACGGCTAGAATTTTGATTAAGATCTTGATTAAAATTTCTCCCAAATAGGTTAGTGTGCAAAACATCACTACGTTTCAAACTTTTGCATTTTTCACCCCTGTGCCCGCTGATCTTCTTTTTCTTCAATGGTTTTATTTTTTTACACTTTTGGCACTCGATTAGATGTGGATTTTAAAAAGATGTTTCTTGATATTGGTGTTTAAGTACAGTTTCTGGTTATCTAGAAAGGTGCAAGTGGACTGATAGTAAGAAATGGAGGTTCTCAAGAGATGTAGTGCCCTAACACGAGTACTATGAGTGCCACCTATATAAAAGTCGTCCACATTCAAGAAAGCTTGTGGAAGTCAATAACAATGCGATTGACAATAATGAGAAGAAAAGCTCACTTTTGTTTAATCCTACATCATTTAGTAAAAAGTATGAGAGATTGGTTTTTAGTATTTCTACATCTTCTAGTATTTTTCAATCAATTTTCTGGTTTCGTTTCGTGGTGAGGTTGAGGGTGAGGTGGGGGGTGGTGGTGTTGTGAGCAAAGGAGAGGGAGAGGAGGAAGAAGACGACGACGACTTTTCTTTTTTGATTTTTAATTTAAATTATTTGAAATTTATTTATACTTCTTTTAAAAAATGGGATTATGATTGTAATTTGTTTTTTTCCTTTTGTTTTATTTATATACGAGGATATATTTGTCGTTTTACAATTTCTAAATGAGAAATTTGATAAAAATTGATGAAAATGACGTTTTCAACAATGAAACAATGAAATAGGGGTGAAAATACAAAAAATTAAAATGTGAGAACGTTTTACACACTTAAGCCAAATACGTTTAGTGCTAATAAACAAACAATCAAACAAGGCCTTATTATTTCTTGCCATCATCTATAAATCGTTGTATCCATTTTTTCTTGATGCAGTCCTTCAATTCAGCAAAACTCTCATTTTTTGTTGTTGCAATCCTTCAATTCAATAAAATTCTTGCCCTTTAAATTCGTACTTGGGAGCGTGTTTCCCATCTATATACCCTACACCTAGCAATCGTGTAACTGGGCCAACTCTACACTTTCTCAGCCACAAATCCTTAGGAACAGATATTCAGATAGTTCATAAATTCTAAGCCATGCATGATATTTCACCCGTTTGTGCGATTCCCAGTTGTTCTGTATAATTCTAATATAAAACTTGCTCAAAATTAAACCCACGAAAAAGAGGGACATTGAAAAGCCATGCTTCCTTCTATTGATCTCA